GTTTAGAGCAAAAGATAGTTGCACACGAAACACACGATAGATTGTGTTTTTAAATTACATAAATTCAACATTATTACATGTTCTACACAAACATAGTTAAACAAAAATTATTCAAAAACATTTTAGGCGCACCTCGGTTTCTTGAATTGATTAAAGCAGCACGAAAAGGAGTTGCAGGGCAAACAAATTTCAGCAGGAAGAGGCAACAATGTGGAGAGAAAAAGTATATTCACAGCAGATTGGCGATTGAGAAAGATAGTAAAGCTTGGTGATGTTGTCGCTGTACCAGTTAAAGCTTGCTTGAAAGTCTTGGTCAATATCCACCAAAAAAAACAAAGACTCTTGGTCAATACTTACCAATCAAAAAGTCTTGGTCAATAGACTCAATACTATATGGCCCATAATCGGCCCCATATAGTAATGGGTGTGTATGATACACCTCCCCCGCGTTAAAAATAAATGTCAATTTAAACAAAGGATTAACGTTATTTAAAACTAAATTGTGGACTTAATTTATTAATTTAATTACTCATAATTATGATTGATAACCTAGTTGAGTTTTATGAGCACATGTCTAACTTGTCTTTTTAAACGATCTTAAAAAATTATTCAAAACGAGTCGAACCCTGAATAGTTTGACTCAATTATCAATCTTACTCATAATTATTTGATCGACAAAAAATCCTATTAGTCTTTAAAATACTTTATCAATCTAATGGTTATACTAAATAGTATTATTGTAACAAATTACCCTTCTTGATATGTTGTTGTTGCTCCTATAATACAACTCTGATTCATATATAATGACACACATACAGATACTCACTCTTTGATATATATTAGTTGGCGCACATGTGCATGCGAAAAGTGAGAGTAATACATTTTCNGGTTTAGAGCAAAAGATAGTTGCACACGAAACACACGATAGATTGTGTTTTTAAATTACATAAATTCAACATTATTACATGTTCTACACAAACATAGTTAAACAAAAATTATTCAAAAACATTTTAGGCGCACCTCGGTTTCTTGAATTGATTAAAGCAGCACGAAAAGGAGTTGCAGGGCAAACAAATTTCAGCAGGAAGAGGCAACAATGTGGAGAGAAAAAGTATATTCACAGCAGATTGGCGATTGAGAAAGATAGTAAAGCTTGGTGATGTTGTCGCTGTACCAGTTAAAGCTTGCTTGAAAGTCTTGGTCAATATCCACCAAAAAAAACAAAGACTCTTGGTCAATACTTACCAATCAAAAAGTCTTGGTCAATAGACTCAATACTATATGGCCCATAATCGGCCCCATATAGTAATGGGTGTGTATGATACACCTCCCCCGCGTTAAAAATAAATGTCAATTTAAACAAAGGATTAACGTTATTTAAAACTAAATTGTGGACTTAATTTATTAATTTAATTACTCATAATTATGATTGATAACCTAGTTGAGTTTTATGAGCACATGTCTAACTTGTCTTTTTAAACGATCTTAAAAAATTATTCAAAACGAGTTGAACCCTGAATAGTTTGACTCAATTATTAATCTTACTCATAATTATTTGATCGACAAAAAATCTTATTAGTCTTTAAAATATTTTATCAATCTAATGATTATACTAAATAGTATTATTGTAACAAATTACCCTTTTTGATATGTCGTTGTTGCTCCTATAATACAACTCTGATTCATATATAATGACACACATACAGACACTCACTCTTTGATATATATTAGTTGGCGCACATGTGCATGCGAAAAGTGAGAGTAATACATTTTCTATTTTTCAAGGAATAAATCTTTTCTTCCCTCATTTGTGTTTGGTAAGNTTCACAACGATTAGGCTTTTTTGGTGTAATTATGCAGAAAATGCATGAAATAACTTGTTTGTTTGTTTGTTTCCTTTCTAGTGTACATGATGATCTTAGATTTTTCAATACATCAAATTTGAATAGAAGATATTTTAATTGACCAGTTTTTTTTCTTTTTCATCGTATATAAAGATTAAACTTATCAATGAATTAGATTCCGTCAGGATTTTAATGGATCTTATTTTAATGTGTTAAACGTATATGCCAATTTGAATTGATGTACAAAATCCATTATATGACTAGCATCTTGTACAAAATTCATGTTTGAATTTGCGAATAATAAAAAAGTACAAAAATCTATTTCGATTCAATTTTTATTTTTATTTTTTTGTAATGGGATGTATATATGTATTAAAATTGATTCGATTATAATACAAAAAAAATTCCCTTTGTTTTTGATTCCTTTGGGCTGTATAATCTTGCAAGGAACCACTCAAATTTAACCCAAGTTAATGACATAGTTATTTTACTATGCTCCACTCCAACTATTCTGCCTAATTATAATTTTTACTGTTAAAAATAAATGATCTCCGTAAATGTGTTGTGGTATTAAAACATGATTGACTGTTCCGTAAACCAAATGAAAATTTTAAACCATTACAAAATTTTAGGTGTTGAAAAGTTAGTGCTAGCTCTTACAAGGCCTAAATCCTAGAATCAGTCTAACAGGTACCTAAATTTTGATTTTTGAAATAGTTTACTTGCTAGCAAAGAGCTGCTTCTGAAAGGGTTTGAGAGTACTCTGTTCTTTTTTAGATAAATAAATCGTATTATCACAATTATAATCAACTACAATCTACTATTATAATAATAAAAATGCATTAAAATGAGATGAAAGAGTAGTCAGATATGAGCTAAGAGAAGCTAAAAGAATGGCACAATATAGAAGGGCGGCTTAATACAAGAGACTCTCGTCACTGTGGAGTCTAGCTTTAAGCACGTACATTTTTGTCTCGAAACTTGGATGCCTCGTTGATAATAGAATAACCTTTGCCACTACGCTGAGACCCACCTCACAAATAGAACCTCCAGTAGAACACCAAAATAAGTTCCATGAGGAAAGGAAACTTCTTGTTGTCATTGCTATAGTTCATCTGCAAAAACAAAAGTTGTGTTTTCCCCCACAAAATCAAGAATGCAAAAACTTATGTTTTACCAGGAAACCTAATTTAGCATAGACTAACTTATCATTTCCAATACAATGAAAATATGTATTAAACTTCAATCTATGGCAACAATAAGGTCTTCTCTTCTTGTCAAATCTTGGCATTTTTCAAACAAAAGTTACATAATTAAATTGTATATCATTCAGCTACTGATCTACAATCGTGTGTGTGTGTGTGAGAGAGAGAGAGAGAGAGAACATCAAAGCAAACACACTCTTTCTTATTGTTAAAGAAAGCTCATTTGTTCCATCCTCAGCATCCTCATCATCTCTCCTTCCATTTGCTTGACATCATCATCATCATCATCTTCTGCTGCTTCATCATCATCGTTGTCGTTGTCATCGTCAAATATCATCATTCTTCTTCTGATTCATCGTTGAGGCTAGATGACAAGAAGGAAAGTGACGACTTAAAGCAGAGAAATAGTTTAGCCTTGAATGAAATTGGCAATAACGCATAGATAACTATTTTCTTTAATTTTTCAGGGGGAAGTGAGAAATAAAAGGAAGAAATTGAAAAGAATAAAGACATACAGTTCGCTTGCATTTTGTATGGTTGTGTTAAGATCACTCATCCAAAATCCCTGTCCGCCAATGGGTATATTTCCTTCTCCAAGCCTTCCTGTGCTCAGTGGTCCAGAGCAGAAAGTCTTCATGTTTGGACAGCCACTGATTTTCAATTGATTCAATGACAAAAATTGAAATTCACAGTTTCCAGAGCAAAAGCAATTAAGGTTTTCTAGATTTTCAAGCCATATCTCTTTCAATTGTGGTTACAAAATTTTGTCCCGTCATTTATTCTTCTTCCTGTGTAGTAACTATCTCGTCTAAAATCTTGATCTTGGAAAGATCTTCTTCCATGTCAATAATTTCTTCCATCATCTTACACCGGCAAACAAGTTGGATTTGTAGATTCCCAAGCAATTTTGCCATAGTAGGTGACAATAGATTTCTCAAAATGTCACACTGCAATATATTAAAGATTGCCAAATTCTGAAAACCTCAAAGATTTTTGGGAACGATCCTCCATACATGCATTAACCTAGGTAAATTACCTAATGTCAAAGACTCCTGATAATGTGGATTTATGCACTACCTGTCGAGTAATTAATGTAGGTAATAAATTCAATAAATATAAGGTGAAATCAACATAGTCAACGCACAAATGTATAGTGGTTCGTTCACGATGACCTACTCCATTTTGAAGACGACAAAGGTGGCCAGTGGTCTTTATTGATGAAGTAGTAGGTGAGAGAGAGAGCAAATGTAATTTCTGGGAGAGGTATGGTAGCTAAGAGAGAGAAATAACAATGTGAGGGGTGTATAGAGAGAGCTTACAATTTATAGGCAGAGAGCCTTGGTTAAGGCGGTGATGTGAGGGTATATATACTAGTTCGTTAGGGAGGATAGCTACAACTAAGTATAGGTACAATTAAAGATATCCTTGATTTTCGAGAGTGGCAATCCCGATAATTGCTCTCCATGTGTACTAATGTTCTTGGACTCCTTGAACTTTGGTGTGAGCCGAATTCATGAACTGGACTTGACTTGCCTTGCAGCTAATTTGGGCTTACTTAATTACTTGGGCCTGACTTAGTCGAATTCAGGCTCATCATTTGCGCCCCATGCCCCAAGCCTTGATTACAAAAAAGGTATTGGGGACAAGAGTGAGCCTCTAAATAGCTAAGGGTTTCTTGCGTCCCACGGCTCATCCTTTTTCCATTCTTCAACTGTAGAGCTCCTTTTCTTGGTTTGATAATCATCGTGGTTGAAAAACCATTGTTCCAACGACTATATTTCAATAGCTTGGTAAACTTGACAGCAAGGTCTCCTCTTTTACTCAAGTACTTGCCTTTTGGATTTAAAGGGCATTTCTTGCCAAACCCATCATATCCCTCTTTAGAACTAGGGCTTAAATTCACTATTTTCCCCCTTCACATTCTACAAATCATTAGGCAAACTTGCAGGAGATGAGTATGAGGACAAGGGAGAAGATGAAGAGAGGTATCTTTGGTGGATCTACGTGGAAAATCTCAATGAAGGAGAAGGAAAAAAAAGCCTCGGATCTCAGGCAGCAATCGCAAAGGACAGACGATGAACACGGATGGTGACAGGATCATGGCCCAGGGGTTGGGCGACGCCAACGAGTTGCTGGGCAGCACCAACACGCTGGAAGGCGTAAGGAAAGCAATGAGAAGCAGTGGATTTGGCCTGGGTGACGCCCATAGTGCAAAGAAAGTCGTTGCAGAAGGCGCCGATTTCGTAGGCAATGCTCCAGGCTGTTGGGGCGTTAGAGGCGCAACAGATGGGAAACTAGGTGGCGTCGACAGTGGCTTGGACTCCTAAAGGATGACGACGATGCCCACATGGGTGGAGTAGTTGAGTTGGGGGGTGGAGTAATTGAGTTAGGCGAAGGCGCCTCAGTCGTAGGAGGTACAAGTGATGCATCGAGGCGAGGAGTCCATTGAGATGGCGCCCATGAGGGAGGCGGGACCAGGAAGGATGACAACGCTTGGAGAAGAGTGTTAGGTCTTTGCGGAGAGCTGACAAGCAATGCCCATGTTGCAAGTATCCATGGTTACGAATATGGTGGCAACGCCATTACTGGTAGGTCCCTTTGCGAGATAGGTTGCGATTTTGGGGGAGGCAGGAGCGACAACGCGTCGACCCAGGCACTGGGCTATGCCAGTGGCTAGTGGCCCGATTGGGCAATACCCCTTGGCAGCTGGGCGACGCCCCCTGGCAGCTGGGTGATGCCTAAGGCACTTGGCACGGGCGTTGGCACAACAAAACTTTGAACGGTCATAACTTTGCACTCGGATGTTCGTTTGAGGTGAATTTTTTTTTGAATCTGAGTATTTTTTTTAGATCTATGATGTCCAACTGCTATGCAGTTGGTGCACCGATTTTCTCTAAAAAAATGCTTCATTCTCACAGAAATTGAACTTTAATCGCAAAAATAGATTTTGCATGTGTCTACTTTTTGTATTTCCGACTATGCGAGGACTCAGCTCGCCATACTTTAATGCTGGTATTTCCTTGAAATTGACTTTGATTCTATCTTGGTTCCATTTGTTGGCAGGCACCCACTCTGACAAGGACATAACGAAGGTTGTTACACGAGGCTCTAAGTGAGGCAGAGGGATCACTAAGGACGACAGTTCGAAGATACTCTCTATTTTTAGTTCTATAGATTGTGACGATGACATTGTCGTCATTGTTTCCTCGTTTTGTATTCATCTTACTGTCTTATATCGTCGGGTCGAAGGGGACGAGCCGGCCTGTCATGACTCATTTAGAGAGATCGTCCTCTACGAGGACGTCCTGGATGCAGGGTTGAGGTTCCCGATACCTGGGCCCATATGTCAGATCCTGGGATACTTATCACTGGCTCCAAGGAGGTTTACTCCAAATGGGTGAAGCGTGATCCTGACATTCTTCTTATTATGGCGGCTAGTTCACAGTGCTAATATTCCTCCCCTTTTCGAGGAGTTTTTGACTTCGCACGTGCTTTTGGAGAACCCTACTCCTCATCAAGGGTGTTTTCGTTTTGCCACGAGGACGGGCAAACTTATCACTGTACTACCCTCGAATTATCATAGTTGGAAGTCTAGGTTATTCTTTGTTGGAGACAAGGGGGCCATTGAGGGAGACCATGACTTGGTGGCTTCAAGGTGGCACACGGTTTTGAGGACCAAGCTAGGTAAGAATTTTACTTTTACTTTTGCTTTTACATCTAGTCGTTAGGTATTTTTACTTATTGTGTGATTGGTTCCTTTGTAGCTCCACCTACATTATCTACGGAGTAGGAGAGTAGACTCCAACTAGGGCATTACCATCATTTCAAGGAGTTTTCAAAGATTATGTTCGCATTGGGTCGTCCCAAAGTCTCCCCTAGGCCAAACAGGAAAGGTATCTAGTCCTTCCAATAGACTCTTCATGGTTACGACGTTGTAAGCTTTTTGTCTCACACCAACTCCGTAGGCACCTCTATTGATAGAGCGATGGTAGAGGCTCATTATGCTTGCAGTGTGGCATCTTCCCCTCCTTCCTCTAAGAGGACAAAGTCTGATGCCCCTTGTGCTTCTCAGTTAATGTCTGCTGGCCAAGTTAGTCCCCAAGAGGCGAGACCTGGTGATGCCCCCACTCCTCCCCCAACTATGACTCCATCATATTCTAGGGATAGCACCAGTATAGCTGTAGGAATTGAGGTTCTAGTGTGGTCTCCTATGAGGACTGGAGCTCCGCTTAGCCGCCCTGTCTCTAGTTGTGGTTTAGTATCCATGTTGCAGGATATGAATTTGGTCAAGGAGCGACTTTGGGGGTTTGTGACCACTGCAAAGATCCAAAAGGTCGGCTCTCGAGGTCTAGAGGGCATCATTGATACTATTATAGAGGGTTTTGCTATGGTATACCTTTTACTCATCTTTGGTCTTGTACCTGGCTGCTTTCTTTCATGTTCTTCCTTTTGGATGCATATAGGTAACTGCTGCTTTTTTCTACTTATTTTCAAGTACGATGAAGCTTAGAGAGGCACCCATTGGTCAAGCAGCAGAGAGGTAGGCACGAAGGTCTATTGAGGAACAGTTGGGGCTCGAGAGATAGGTGCGAGAGGCTGTCGAGGAGCAGTTAAGACTAGCACCTGAGAGAGCTGCCCCACTTGAGACCGAGCTTTTGGCGTGCCGTGAGAGAGCCACCTAGCTAGAGGCTGATANAGATGGTAGAGGCTCATTATGCTTGCAGTGTGGCATCTTCCCCTCCTTCCTCTAAGAGGGCAAAGTCTGATGCCCTTTGTGCTTCTCAGTTAATGTCTGCTGGCCAAGTTAGTCCCCAAGAGGCGAGACCCGGTGATGCCCCCACTCCTCCCCCAACTATGACTCCATCATATTCTAGGGATAGCACCAGTATAGCTGTAGGAATTGAGGTTCTAGTGTGGTCTCCTATGAGGACTGGAGCTCCGCTTAGCCGCCCTGTCTCTAGTTGTGGTTTAGTATCCATGTTGCAGGATATGAATTTGGTCAAGGAGCGACTTTGGGGGTTTGTGACCACTGCAAAGATCCAAAAGGTCGGCTCTCGAGGTCTAGAGGGCATCATTGATACTATTATAGAGGGTTTTGCTATGGTATACCTTTTACTCATCTTTGGTCTTGTACCTGGCTGCTTTCTTTCATGTTCTTCCTTTTGGATGCATATAGGTAACTGCTGCTTTTTTCTACTTATTTTCAAGTACGATGAAGCTTAGAGAGGCACCCATTGGTCAAGCAGCAGAGAGGTAGGCACGAAGGTCTATTGAGGAACAGTTGGGGCTCGAGAGATAGGTGCGAGAGGCTGTCGAGGAGCAGTTAAGACTAGCACCTGAGAGAGCTGCCCCACTTGAGACCGAGCTTTTGGCGTGCCGTGAGAGAGCCACCTAGCTAGAGGCTGATAGAGAAGTTGCCTGTGAAAGAGCATAGACAGAGCTGCAAGCATCCCGTGAGAAGGCCGTGGAGCAGAGGCCGAGCTTTGCGTAGCTCAGGAGAGGGTTGTCGTGGCAGAGGCTCGCTCTATTGAGATGGAGAAGAAGAAAGATACTGCTAAGAGGGCCGTGGCAGGTGCCTTTATCAATGGTTATGAGGTGCTTAAGGGGAAGGTCTCAGTAGCTTTTCCTGCCTATGACTTTTCTGGCTTCGTCCCCTATGAGGCATCAAGGATTGATGACGAGGAGAGGAGCTTAGATAGGAGCAGATCTGGGAGCAATGATCGATGTTAGGAGTATGGTATTTTTATCTTCGTGTTTTTATTGTTAGGCCATGTTCTATCTTTTGTAAATAGTTTATGAGCCTTATGGAATGACATAAATTGTATTTCATAATCTGAAGTAAATAGCAATGAAAATTGACTAAAACAACAAGAAATAATTTAAATGGTGACTACTACCTTGTCCACCCACAATCTTGCCCCCAGTTATTGGTAATATCTCTTCAGGTGTTCTGCGCTCCATGGATGAACCAAGACTTTCCCTTCAGAGTTCTAAAGGTGGTCGATCTTACCACTTCCGTGACTGTGTAAGGTCCCTTCCAGTTTGGGCCTAGCTTCCTTTCTCAAAAGTCCATGGTACATAGGATAACCTTTTTTAGGACTAGATCTCTAGGCAAGAAGAAGCAAGACTTCACCCACGAGTTGTAGTACTTGGTCATGCGATGCTTGTCGTCAACCAATCCATCCCAAGGATGACATCAAATTCCAACATGTTCATGACCCTAAGGTCCATGGTGAGTAGAATTTTTGACATCTCTAGCTCACAATCCTGACATATATGATCAATACTCACCCTAGGCCCTAGGGGAGAACTCACATGCAATGGCTCTTCCAAGGTCTCAACCTCTAAGCCCAAATCTCTCACACATGTCAAATAGCTACAGAGGACTTACTTAGTATCCCAAGATAGGGATCAAGTTCAAACATTGAGATTTCTCTCTTTGTCTTACTAGTAGAGCATGTGCCATCAACTAGTAGACATCTACATCTTGAACCATCCCGTTCATTCTTTTTCTGACCCCAAGGTTATGTTCTCTAACCCTAGTGTCTCTTTTTCACATACATTTCATCATGCATATTCTTCACATAATATATAACACATAACATATAGCATTTAAAGCACAAAACATGTAATACACAATGGATGCAATGGTCTAAATTCATGCCCTGCAAGCCCTAGGTAAATCGTAAACCTAAGCTCTAATATCAAGCCATGACGCCCTAAAAATCGGGGGTCCTTTGTTAACCCATTGATCAACCCATCAACCCGCAAAATACCCGTAGATACTGTGTAACTTGATATCACGCCATTATGCTTCATTTATCGGGATCCATAATTTAAAGAAATTCGAGCAAAGTCTCCTTTGTACGGGGAGCTCTACCCAAAACATAACATCTGAAATCATAGAACATTGATCACACCAGGTCCATTTATTCATACTCATATAACAACATGTAATTTTATATTAAAAATAATTCATATGAGTTCGATTATAATTCTTTTCCATAGATTTACATGCCCAAAATCAAATTTAGCAAATGTTTTACAAAAGTTGGTTTAAAAGTCACAAGTCGGCTTTTCTTCATTCTTGAGGTTCTGAATACGAGCTGTCCACCAGTGTATAACCCGCACCTAAAATGTTTCCCCATAAAGGGTGAGCTCTGCTCAATAGAGTATCTCCTAAAGAGGTTACTCCCCAATCTAAGTGCATTAGAAATGTTCACATGCAACATTCAACAAGTAACTATCATTCCAATCTAGAATATGCAATTCAATATTAAAATCCACCATGTAATACCATGAAATGAGATAAAACTCACTCATGCAA